TTCGGATCCGGTGAGCGCCAGTTCTGGGACAATCCGGAGGACGATGAGCAGAAGCCGGCCCTCCAGACGACCATCACCACCTCCCCGCCAAGGCTGAGTAACGGCAGCACGGCACCAGCGGCCATCTCGAGTTCATAGGACTCCAAATGGAAGTAGTATTAGCCGTAGTCGTGCGTCATTAACCATTAATCCGTATACTATACGAAATGCGTAGCTTAGTCCTTGTTTTAGTTTAATTATTTAATAAGCCAAAAGTTGTTAATATTGATAGTCAGCCTTTGATTTACTCCTACATCTGCATAAACACCGCTAAAAAGACACGTATCTTCCAATTGGAAATGAATTGGGATTTGAAAACGAATCCACACCAAGTCGAGCACAAAACGTCAACTTTAGTTAGGGAAATCGAGGTCTACCATTGCAAATGCGTAGTTTTCTTATCTTATTGTGATAGCGATAGAGTTTAGTTCTCAAACTGATTTGTTCCGAAATTAAATGATCCGCTCAAGCGAACATTGTAAAGCAAGCAACCAAATGTATGAAAACCATTAAAACTACTAGTTTAAGAAACAAGAAACATTTAAATACTTATTGGAAGAGGTCAAAAAAGGGAACACCCCATCGGAAATATATTAATCTTAATATTATATTCTGCTGCTTGAAGTAGTACTTGAAGAAGAACAAACCCTTGAAGGCTAATTCGTAAATAATAAGCAGTTGTCAGGATATCAAGAGCAGCCATCTCCTCTGTCTGGTATTTAAATGCCCGCGCCGAGGCAGAAGGATTCAGTTAGCGCTTGAAATGGGTCACCCCGAGGAGCTGAAAGCGGAGCAAGTGGATCTGAAAGTCAGCCCCTTTGTGGGCTCCCTGCGACGCACTTGGAGTGACTTCTGTGTCACCAGCAGTATCCATGGATTGAAATACACCCGCGATGAGGATACCAATAAGATTGTGCATCTGGTGTGGCTCTTGATTTCGGCGGTGATGTTCATTTGTGCTGTGGTTATGGCGCACACCTTCTACATCGACTATCGCAGCACTCCCACGCGGATGAATGTGGAAAGTGATAACACGCCGGTTAGTAGACTTTACTTCCCACCTGTCACAATTTGCCCAGATGTGCTCTTCAACATGCAAAAGTCCGAGGCCTTTCTGAACACCCTGTAAGTGGAAATTATTCAAAGGTATACATTTGGATGTGCCACTTGCTTTACTCCGCCAGGCGACTTCCACTGGGAGCCGAGTTAAGGGGCATTCTTCGCAAGCTTCACATTTTCTACGGCTTTATGCTAGATGATGAACGATATTCCGCGGAGGACATCGAACAGATGGAAGCCCTTCTGTTCCTGAATAATCTAACGATTCCAGAATTTGTGGAGCACTTACGCTGGGACTGCGCTGAAATTCTGCATCGCTGTAGTTTCAATGGTGTCATAATAGATTGTTCCCAGATATTTCAGCTGTCCAAGACGTTTTTCGGCCACTGTTGTTCATTCAATTTGCGTCAAAAGGGGTAGGTAAAGTGCAAATCAAAATAATTTTAAGAGCTCTAAGTTCTCCTTCAAGCAGCATGAACTTCACTGGCCAACGAGCCATAGGTGGCCTTAGATATGGCCTGTCAGTGATTGTGCGCTATAAGGACGACAGCTACGATCCATTGCAATCGTATTCATATGGCGTCAAGCTGCTAATCCAGGAAGCAGATGCCTTTCCCAGTGCCCATTCTGCAGCTAAATTTGTAGCCTTCAACTCGGAGACATTCGTTGCCGTCAGGCCGCAGGAAACCTTTTGCTCGGCTGCTGTGAAAGCGTTAACCATTGAGGAGAGAAATTGCGTTTTCCAGAAGGAGTTTTCCATGCGATACTTTTCGGATTACGTATACCCCAACTGCGAGCTGAACTGTAGGGTCACTAATATGGTCAAGTTCTGCGGTTGTCACACATACTTTTTTGCTTTCAATCGCACCAGCGATCGGATTTGTACATTTAGAGATATTCCGTGTCTGGTGGATAATTTTGGTACGTTATTTGTTCACAATGTAGTGATTTTAACACTTTGCTTTCAGCTGATATAATTACGAGGAAAAAAAGCACCCAGTGCTATTGCCCGCTTGCCTGTGAGCACATCGATTACGATGTCCAGGTATCCAATTTTCCGCTGGAACTGAACATGCCAGTTGCGGATAAGTTTTAGTAAATATGGTAAAAGACATGCTGGTTCCGCCTTCTATGGAAATCTTTTTATTTCAGTTCAGGCCTAGTCAAAAACGATGGTGTACTGCATGTCTTTATCAATTCGTTTGGCTATCGACGACTGCGACGTGACTTGCTTTCCAATATGGTCACTTTGGTGTGTAAGTTGATTGCAACACTCCTTTATCAATTTGAATTAAAAATGTGAGTTTCCAGCTAATCTAGGCAGCGCCTTCAGTCTTTTTGTGGGCATGAGCATGCTCTCGGTGGTGGAAATTATCTACTATTTTTCAGTAATCCTACGCAAGAACTACCAAATGGAATGCGAAACTCGAAGTCGGATGCTCCACAAGAAGCCAAAGTTCGCCTGGCCCCAAGCTAATGACACTCTCAGTAAACAGCAGAAATCAGTTTTCATAATTCACAAATCGTAATCGCGCGATGGACGAATGCAAAAAAATACTGCCATAAATTAGAGCAATAAAATCGATTTGAAACCTAATTTGTTGTCCGAATGAACTTTGCTATACTCTTTCGGAGACAGTTATACTGTCAATAGGAAAGTAAAATGACTTTAAATTTACAAAAATACATATACTTTTGTTGCACTGCCTTGACTTTCATTTGAAGCTTCGTATAGTATGATTACATTAGTTAGTGAGCTTGACCGGTTGTCTTTTATGGTACTAATTAATCTGATTAAGCCAGGCAGCAGACTGGTAGGGTATCCTAACCACCAACGAACCCAATTATGATCTTCTGGAAAAGCGAAGATACCCCCGACTTGCAAACGCCTATCCTACTACCGCATATTGCCATAGGTCAGCCGATGGCCATTGTAAATCTGCCCCAATCTGGGGGCGACCATCTGGGGGTCGTAAATTGGACCCAAGCGAAGCAAATCCGCGATAAGATTGTCCGTGGGGTATAAAAGGGGAAATTGCTCGGCAGATTACTCACAGTATACGGACATGTTCAAGTTGGCTTTCACCCTGACACTCTGCTTGGCCGGCAGCCTTTCGCTGGCCCAGCACAATCCGCATTGGTGGGGCAATCGCAACACCATCGTCCACTTGTTCGAGTGGAAGTGGTTGGACATTGCCCAGGAGTGTGAGAGCTTTCTGGCACCCCGAGGATTCGCCGGTGTTCAAGTGAGTCCCGTAAATGAGAACATCATATCGGCGGGTCGTCCTTGGTGGGAGCGATACCAGCCCATCTCCTACAAGCTGACCACGCGGTCTGGTAATGAGGAGGAGTTCGGAGAGATGGTCCGTCGTTGCAACGATGTGGGTGTTCGTATCTATGTGGATGTGCTGTTGAACCACATGTCCGGAGATTTTGACGGAGTCGCTGTGGGCACTGCTGGAACGCAGGCGGAACCCAGAAAGAAATCCTTCCCAGGAGTGCCGTACTCCGCCCAGGACTTTCATCCCACCTGCGAGATTACCGACTGGAACGATCGCTTCCAGGTGCAACAGTGCGAGCTTGTTGGCCTCAAGGATCTCAACCAGAGCAGCGACTGGGTGAGGAGCAAGCTAATTGAATTCCTGGATCACCTCATCGAACTGGGTGTTGCCGGTTTCCGAGTGGATGCCGCCAAGCACATGGCATCGGAGGATCTGGAGGTGAGTGCTTGCTTTCTCCAGTGTGGAACCATTGGTTAATGGTCTTCTTCACCGCAGTACATCTACAGCAGCCTGAGCAACCTGAACATCGCCCACGGTTTTCCCCACAACTCCCGCCCCTTCATCTTCCAGGAGGTAATTGATCACGGTCACGAAACCGTGTCCCGTGATGAGTACAGGGACCTGGGTGCCGTCACCGAGTTCCGATTCTCCGAGGAGATCGGCAACGCCTTCCGGGGCAATAACGCACTGAAGTGGCTGCAGAGCTGGGGCACTGGCTGGGGATTCTTGCCCTCGGGTCAGGCCTTGACCTTTGTGGACAACCACGATAACCAGAGGGATGCGGGTGCAGTGCTGAACTACAAGTCGCCCAAGCCGTACAAGATGGCCACCGCCTTCCACTTGGCCTACCCCTACGGCATCAGTCGGGTGATGAGCTCGTTCGCCTTCGATGATCACGATACCCCGCCGCCGCAGGATGCGCAGGAGAGGATTATTTCGCCCGAGTTCGATGCGGATGGAGCCTGTGTGAATGGCTGGATTTGCGAGCACCGTTGGCGCCAGGTCTACGCGATGGTGGGCTTCAAGAACGCCGTGCGGGATACGGAGATCACCGGTTGGTGGGACAATGGAGACAGCCAGATCTCGTTCTGTCGCGGCACCAAGGGCTTCCTGGCGATGAACAACAACCTGTACGATCTGTCGCAGGATCTGAACACCTGTCTGCCCGCCGGAACCTACTGCGATGTGATTTCCGGCAGCCTGATCGACGGATCCTGCACCGGAAAATCGGTCACTGTGAACGAGCATGGCTATGGCTATATCCACATCGGATCCGATGACTTCGACGGTGTGCTGGCCCTGCATGTGGATGCCAAAGTTTAGGTAAAGGTAACACAGATATCTGGGCTTTATTTTTCTCTCAAATTACAATAAAAACGAACGCACATAAGTTTGGAGGTTTTAGCTCTAACTATTCGAGTATGTTTGTGAGCGGTAACAATAGCAATAAAAATCCAAAGTAAGATATTTAACGAGATTCGATTCGATTCGAACTGGACTTAGTCTAACAAATGCCACGACCACGACATCCTTGAATGAACACCCGCAAAACGGGAATACTCAAAATATACTTGTCGTATTCAGTATACAAGCTGGGCAAACTGGGCCAACTGGGCCTACATCCACATCCGATCCAGCTGGCACTCTGTAAACGTAAACCCGCTCTGCAAATAGAAGAAGTTGGCATTGTGAAATTGTAGTTGGGTGCTCTGGCCGGAATCGAATCCGAATCGCTACAATTGGCTCCATTGGCGATCACCTCTCACAAGCATTCAGAGGCGCAATGGAAAATCGATCGAAAATATGTAACTGGTAAGCGATTTGGTCAGCGACTGTTTGGTTAGTTTCAAAACAAGCAACTACAAATCAAAATAGCAACGTTTCTACTGGCATTCCGATTACGAGTGTTACGAGTGTAGTTCTGGATCGATCTGGATGGATCTCCCAGATCCGAGATGTCGGCTGGTGGCAATTGATGTGTGGTTATCGGTACGATTGGTTACCATTTGATTGGAATTAAATGCTTACGAAGCGTAATTACCTGTAAAATGCTGATATCTCGCTTCTTGGGAGTAAATCGCTAAAACGGTCCTTACTCCCCTTAGAATATAACATACATGTGTATACTTTGTAAACTATGATTCTTTAGATACTCTGCTTAAGTTTAGGATTTACTCAGGGCTATTCTATTTGACTAACAAACACAGAGTCCAAAAATGTTGCTCAAAGTTTTAACAATAAATATTAATTTAGTAATACAATGTTTGCTCTTTGCACTCTTTGCGCGGCACAAAAGCTAATGCTTTTCCTAAATTTTAAGATTTAAGTACGGCCCCAAGTCCAGCTTTAATATACAAACATACGCACACCCAGATGCGTATAATTTTGCTTTGATCTTAGTCTTAGGAGCTATCTAGAACATCTCGTCTCATCTTTTGCAATAGCAGCGCAGTTCGGTTACATTTAGATATTAATCATCTTAGGTTATTTAGAATCGTACAATGTATATTGATTATGTTATGCCATCAAAAATTTGTAATACTCGCGTTTGCTGACGCATATAATTATAGCTATATAACAGGAACCACGTAAAAATGCACAAATACTTAGAACATTATATCTTTCTGATTTCGGTTTCCACATTAATTACAACATCAAAGTGTGAACTCTTATGCACATGTATACATATAAACTTTTGATCTATTGTTGTTTAAATAGTAGTCAGGTAAATCGTGGGAGGAATTATTGTTGCGCATAAGTTTGTTAATGATTTAGAATATACATTTGACTTCATCAATATTTCATTGGCTGCCAAGGCAATCGATTAGTTTGCGACCACGGATCGAACGAGGGTTGCTTCACAAATTAGCAGAGATCATAAATACCAGACCACCGGAGTTACGGGGTCTGGATTAACCGACTTCGGTGTCCCGAAGGGAGCGCCTTTGGTAGAGCTTTTGAAACGGCCTAAAAACCAGAACCATTTTATAAAGTTTGATTACCAAACGCCTTTTGTTCGGTGACACCCTTAACCCTAAGACATTGCGATTATGACCTACATAGATTCAACACCGAGATTGTCAAAAATATATGCATATCGTACTGATATTAGTAGATTGCCGCCAATGCTTTTGAGGTTTGCTTTGTTTGGTACCAGTGATGGGAGGCGATGGACTAACTAAGCAAAAAATATTATGCACATATATAGTAGAAAACCTGTATGCAGTATATATATACAACTGTAATATTACTACGTAAAATATATGCAATTACAGGTACTCGATATCGAATTACTGAGATTCTTATGCAGGACTATTTAATGCTTATTGAACATTAAAATATGTATAGTGTTTACCTATAAATGGCTTTAGATTTGCAGCTGTTGATTTATATATTTGATTTGATATATCTCCTTAATGGTACAAATATTGCGTATTTTTGGAATAACGTACTAATACATCAGTATGTAAAAGGCAGTTATTGCTGAGTTTGAGAGTTAATTTGATCAGTTAATTAAATGTACGTGCAGTTTATTTCCAGCACATTATGTTCTCTAAGTATATGCCACTCCTTTGGCCTTGCTTTCTATCTAGGTAATAACCCATCACTGGCTTTCACTACTACCACTTCCCTTTGCCCCTAGAAGCTCTTGCCCGCATCATGGATGCGCTTCCGGCGACTGTCGCGCCTCCTGTAACGATCTATAATCCTCGAGCGATGCCTTTCTGGGCACAATGCCTCCGGCGAGCTGTCCACCTTCTTCATCACGATTCGGAAGGTGAAGGTGTGCTTGGGCGAGGCACTGGCCGCTCGTCTCGGGGACGGTGGCTCGAATTCACTGCCGCTGGAGAAGCCGCAGGAGGAGAGCGGGGCGCCGGGGTGGGGCAGTGGAACAGGTCCGACCGGAGCGGCGCCAGGAACTCTGGGCGTTCCATTCGTATAGCCCGATGGGGTGGACATGGACCCGGTGGACAGCTGCTGGGTGAGCACGGAACTGGGTCGCGGCTCGAAGATGGAGGCGCATCTCTGATCGGTGCAGAGGAAGGTGCGCACCTCTCTCTCCTCCTCGCCCTTTTGGCGGACAGTGAGGGGGAAGTGCTTACGACTGGGATCCCCGTATGGACTTCTCTGGGGTTCCGGGGGATAGCCATAGCCGTGGGGATATGACCCACTGGAGTCGTAGCTATCCCTGGAGCTATAGTTCGAGGAAGTCTGCTGAGACAACGGACTGCGTGCCCGGGAGAAGGCACTGAATTGGGAGACGTGCAGCTGGCGGAAGTTCTCCGTGCGCTGTTTCTTGCTCATCGCCGGAAACGGAAGGCTGGGCGATCGACCACCGCCCTCGGTGGGTGTGTAGTCAAAGTGGGTCTCCAGCGAGGACTTGCGGCCTCCGCAGGAGGAGCCGGATCTTTGGAACGTCTCCGCATCCACCAGCTCAATGGAGCTCTTCCTCAGATCCACGGCCCTTCTGCCCTGGCCTCGTTCGTCGGTATCAACAATCTCAAAGCTTGAGGTCTGGTCCTCGTAGCTAGTGGATTGGTACCGCGAGATGGAAACATCAAAGCTGGTATCCCTGGACGAGTAGGGACAATCGAAACTGGACTCCCCGCGACTGGACTTGCTCCACTTGCTCTCCACCAGCTCGAAGCTGTCACCCCCGGAATCCAGGCGCTGCAGGTTTATGAGATCGGTTTCCGTATCCACACCGGGACTGCGGAGCTGCTCCAGAAATGGGGAGCGAGGCGGATCGAAGGAAGAGCGGCGCGACGGCGGCTCAAACTCGATGGTAGGACACTGGAGCGGCTTCTTAGCGGGCTCGGCCGCCGCCAAAGCTGCGGCTTCAGCTTGGGCGATGGCCAGATCCGCATCTTCGGTCTCCCGCCGCAGTGCCTGCAGATTCACATAAACTGGTTCTGGGGGATAGGCTTTCAAGATCTCTACCAGCTCGGCGCGCATGTCATCGGGTATCATTAGGTCATTGGAATCTGATTCCCGTTCCTCGCTGATTCGCGGCTCTATGGGTTCCCGGCTCTCCGATCGACGGGTGAAGTGATGCACTGCGGCTGTTCCGCCTTCGCCGTTGAGGGCAACCACTTTGAGGGAGTTGGTGACCTCCTCCACAAACTGGGCCATGGCTGCATCGGTTTGTTCCACCTCCGTCTCCGCTTCCGCATCCTTTTCGGCGTCCTCTTCCTTTACGGCCTCGGGTTCTTGCAACTCACGGAGCCTCTCATGCTTGATATAGGACTCACCTACCTTCTCGAAGTGGACATTGGCCAGCTCGAAGGGCAGTTCGTCCGCCGATACACCTACCTGTTGCTCCGCGTTGGCCTGACTTAAGTCCGCACTGGGTCTCTTGGATCCGGAAGCTGAACTCTGCTTCTGCTTCTCCTTCTCCTTTTCCTCCTCGTCGCGTTTCGTCGACCTCCTGAGCCTCAGAGACATCTTGGCGTAGTGGGTGAACTTCTGTGATATCTTCGGCTCAAAACCCACCTCGGACATTTGCTTTTGGACAGCACTCTTGGCGGCCGTAGACGACGCCGCTGGACTGGCTGAGAAGGTGCTCTGCCGGATCAGCGGGCCACCGGAGGATCCGGACTCCGCTCGTGTGAAGGCATTTGCAAAGCGGTTGGTTCGGCTACTCAGATGCTTAGAGGGCTTCCTCACAAACGCCAGAATCTCACGCATCACGCTCTTCTTCTCCTGCGGCTGGGCGGCCTCCTTTTCCTTCTCCTTTTCCCTTTCCCGGGCAGCGGCCTCCGCCGCCTCCCGCTCCCGTTCCCGTTCCGCACTCTTGTAAGTCTCGGCGGGATTGGAGACGGTTATCGGCGGTATCGGGCCCATGGGCGAACGCTTCTCGCTGGCGAAATATATGGGTGTGAAGAGGCTTATTGAGGGCCGCTTGAGGCCAACGAAACCCGCATCTTCCGGTTCGGTGGCCATGTCCTGCACGTGGACCGTGGATGTAGGGCTCCTGCGGGTGCCCGGAACTCCAAATTGGCAGCCAAAGTCTGTGGGAGCCACTGCTCCCAAAGGCGAACGACGTTCCTGGGTGTGCACACTGAAAGTGGGGCTACTTCTACGGGGCTCTCCAGTAGGACTCCTAACTGTGGGACTAGTCATCGGATCATTTGGTGACCTTAAGCCGCTGCTTGGGAAGAGCGGACTCCGGCGCCCTTGGGGACTGCGGTCGTTGAGACCGACAGGACTTCGTCTGCCCTGGGTGCCCAGCGATATGGAGAGCTGTCCGCTATTCTTCCGGCGACTTGAAGCGCGGAGAGTTCCCTGGCGCGAAAGCGAGGTGGGCGTCTTTTGGGAACTGCTGCCCGGACTTTTGGACTCCGGCACTGGCACGACCGGACTCTTCGGCGTCAAGGGGCTGCGCTTCTTGTCTCCATTCCCGGAGGTCAATGAGGTATTCAGAGTTAGATTGGGTGCATTGTTGGGACTTCGCCGCTCCGAGGGACTGCGTCGCGTGCGGAAGGACTGCGACTTGGCTTTCCGGATCTTGGGCAGCGACTGGTGGTGGTGACGGTGGCGGTGGTGTGGCTGCTGGGACGACGAGGAGGAGGAGGGGCCGTTCAACTTATGTTAGTTGCTGTGGTGCGGACCACTCGTCGGGTCGCTGCTGCCGCTGGAACTGAGTGTGGTGTTCGATCCGTACGGATCTAGGGAGCTCTGGACCGACATCGAGCGACCCTGGTTCTGACGCGCACGCCTCACTCGGCTAGAGTTGGGAGACAGCTTTCCGGGGTCGATGCTTTCTGGGTCTGCCTGCAATGTGTAGAATCAGACATAAAGGGGACAACAGGATGGATGGACGGAATGGAGCGCATGGGTGGCGGCGGATGGTTGGATGGATGGACGGAGAGAAAGATGGGCGGACAGATAGATGGACAGATGATGGCGTGAGTGACTGAGTTAAACACCAAGGAAGCAGCGCAAAGCAATCTAGAAGCACAATGCAACCCACCTGGTAAGCCAGCGCGTTCATGATGATGGCATAAGGAACGAGGTTCAGCGGATGGATCTCCCGCATCAGCACGTTGGCCGGAATCTTATGGAACTGGATGTACTCGCAGAACGTGCCCAGGATCTCCTTAATGTCGATGTTCTGCCGGGGGAGCAAACTTTT